TTACCTTCAAAGTATCTAGAGCAGCTAACGCTTTGCGAACTTAAATAAATAAACCCAATTTAATTACGCTCGAAAACGCTGGAAATTTACTCACTTCTGCATGACACTTACAATAACAAGAAAGGAAAAAGAAAGTACCTGACAGCTTAGGTAGATGAACACCACCCACTACATCCGAGAATAGGAAACCAAGTACGCCAAAGATTAGAAAAAGGATCTTCTTGGATGGTGCAGGCAGAGCAAACTCTCGATATGTCGTGTTGTGAAATCGAGGACATAAGAAGAGGATGTGACTGGATGATGCCGAAGAAAGACAAGAGCAACTTCATGAAGGTGATAGCTACGCTTGGTCGAGAGTGTCGCGAGTGGCCAGCAAATGCAACTAATGCGGAAATTGTGACCATCCTTGAGGAAAATTCAGTGATGGGTGATGTCGTCTTCACCGACGGATCAATGAATGAGGCGTGGCCAGAAATCTGGGTGGGCGTTCAGTGCTCGAGTTGACGGGAGGATAATTGAAAAACAGTCTGGAGCCTACGAGTGCACTACATCGAGCATGGCAATGGAGGTCAAGGCAATAACAGAGGTGCTGGAATGGATCAGTATGGAAGCGTATAAATATGCCCTGTTCGTCACAGATTCGATGAGCACCCTAGAAAAAATCAGGAGTGGGTGGTTCTACAGTGACTGGACAGCTTCCATTGCAAATAACCACCTCCTAAGGATTGCATGAGTGTTCTGCCCTGGTCACGCCGGGGTGCACGGAAATGAACGTGCTGATGGATTTACCAGCAAAGCAGCACCTAAAGGCCGAATCATGCTCGACCCACCAATGATGATCGCCAAATGCAAGGCGAGCCTTCACGACCAAGAGGAGACAGACTCCCACACACTCAGCACTATAAAAGAAAAGTGTGTGCGGCGCACAGGGGAAAAAAGTTTGCTCCGAGGAATGGTCAGGTGTATCTAAAACCAGGTCCTCATGGAGACAATTAGCAGGAAGACCCTGGGGTGGACGCTGGAAAGGAGAGATGAGCAGCTATGGACATGTGCTATGATTCTAGCTTTGGATCCAAGTAATCCAAGTATCCTTTTTATTTTGCTTTCCCTCACTTCCCCAGAGCTTCATGTTGTTTTTCCGGAGATATCCTCTTCATCTTGTTTTCCCAGAGCTATCCTTTTCATTTTCCTTTCCCAGAGCTATCTTTTTCATTTTGCTTTCCCAGAGCTATCCTTTTCATTTCGCTTTCCCAGAGCTATCCTTTTCATTTCGCTTTCCCAGAGCTATCCTTTTCCCTTTGGTGTACCATAGCTATCCTTTTCCTTTTGGTATCCCAGAGTCATCCTTTCCATTTTGATTTCCCAGAGCTGTCCTTTTCATTTTGGTTTCCCAGGCCCAGAGCTATCCTTTTCATTTTGGTTTCCCAGAGCTATCTACCAGAGACTCAATTGTATTTGTTTGTAACGTCAATTTGAGCAACAGATTGGAATAACATTAACATTATATTTACACCTCCGATTGGATATACATTTCCCTGCCCCACATTGACTCACTTTAGGAGACTGACTGTTTCTTCCCTCTGTATCATATTCATTCTTCTTAAAAACCAATTTCCTCTGGTCCCAATCAAATTCCAATGTTTTGAATATTGCCAAACAACTACACCTCAGATTCAGACACAGGTCAATAACTGAGGAGACAGAAAAGCCTGACAATACCTCAGCAGCATAATTTTATTTCATTTAGGAGATGGGCTGCTTTGGCTCTGTACCGACCAAACCAGGCTGTATCGGATACAACATCTCAGCAGAAAAAATATAAAAATAAGCATCAGACCCACATCTTTAGTATGCAAAGTTCAGAGACAAAAAATTATCTCAGAGAAGCAGATACACCAAACCACTTCTAAGTTTCCACCAACCTGACACATCTCAGAGTAAGCTCTTTAAAAAACCCTTGTTTTTTTAAACAAACATAATTTTAAAAACCCAAGAAGAATTGTATTTTGATTTTCAGATTTATTGGGTCAGTACTGCCCATTGCATACATATATACACGGACAAAAAAAATGGTAGTACATGACATACATCTCTGCTGACTTGGAATGCTATAGGTGTGAAATGATATTATATGACATAATTTTCAAAAGAATCAAAGTATTTCTTCATGATTTTCTGTAATCAGCAAATCTTTTGTTTTGTGTTTTGGTTGTTTTTTTCAGAAAAGAGCCTAGTCAAGTCATGTACAAATAAATAGTAGGCTACTAATAACCAACGAAAAGACATTTGAATCCAATACTCAACAGAGAGAAACTGATTAGACACAAATAAATTGACTAGCTATGGTACATGACAACCACTCATTTTTTTCTTCAGTTTCCTTTTTGAACAGGTTATCATACAGTCTAAACAATTTTTTTTTAACTTTCACATTGCATGAACAAGAAACAAAATTCAGCAGCCAGGCATGCCAACCCTCTCAAAACGTTTCACTGATAAGCTTTTAATTCTATTTTTAGATGCCTCAAATGATACTTAAGAGCAAGTGCAATGTTTGATGACAGGAAGACTAATGCTGCAGAATGACCCTTTTACTACTTTTAGTCCAATAAATCACTTAATTAGACAAACCCAGCCCCTCAGAAGGATGCATGCAGCCTTGCTACATCCTGTGTGCTTAAGACTCAAAGTAAAAGCTTAGATTGCCAAAAAAGCAAAGAATTCATTAAACTACATTTCTAAAAGGATAGCGAAAAAAACAAAATCAATTGCAGCAGATTTCAAAATTAAGACTACTCAAGCCACTTACTCCCCTTTTGTGCTTGTCATCAAGTCTGGAAATCTGAATATTTATAGTTCACTCAACTCAAGCACTACTCGACCAGGAGGTTGCAGAAGAATTAGCAGAACGTTACTCCTGAGGTCACATTAAACCACATAACAATACAAATGTTAAGTGAGATCCATAATAGGTACAAATTAGCGAAATTACACACATTCAAACTCCATATGATCTTTTATTCACAATAACAGTACACTGTGTAAGAAGAGTACAACCTGCTTATACAAGATTCAACATCAACTGAACTCAATTGCTACATTCTGACTAAATAGGCCAGTCTCCCCAAGAATACTCTAAAGGGAACTGAACAATATGATGGAGTCATGGACACAAATGATCACAAACAATGCGGGCAAACAAGCAAACATCATTCTTATAAAAAAATTCAACATACGTTTGTTTTATTCATGCTCATGTACGAACAGTCTCTTTATTTCTTCATCCCACAACAGACTCTCTATCTACCCACAGTCCAGCTGATAAATCACACACACTTAACAAACACTTGAAAGAAAAAAAAAAAGCTAACACCCTCATGTGATGAATTTACTAAAATTTAAAATAGACACCAGATCAACTACTACAGAGTACAGCCTGGAAAAAAATGACCGGTCTAAGTAGCCAACCGTCAATCATTCATACTGAACAGAGAACACGGACACCATAAAAACACACAGAGTAAAAATCAAATAAAGATGCCTAGGCAGCTGGTGCGCCCATTGTTATTAAGAAAAAGGAAACAGAGATTCCGTTGGAACTGAAATAAAAATTTCAGCACCTGTCATTCAGACAGAGCGAACAAATTCTCAATTTCCTCTGATGTGCCCAAGAGGCAACAAAACACAACATATGAGACCAGAGAGGATAAAATGTCGACAAAAACATCTCTTGAAGCTATGGAGACCCATCCACATTTCACACACATAAGATTCGCACTACAATGATAGACAAAGCATTCATTCTGATTACAAATGAGCTAATAACGCTTCCACAGGGCAAGAATACGATAATGAAAAATACAAGATGTGAGATACAGGTGAATACAACTAGATCCAAAAAATTCCTAGAACAAACTGAACGCACCTTGACCTCCGACATACTTACAACCATAAATTTCTTGATGCAACTAAATGCAAACCAACCCAGACAAACATTTTTAAAATACCCACAAACTTCAAGACACACATTGTTGAACAACAAGCTAAATGGCTACAAGTCCCACTCCCAAGAACTACGGGGTTACCGAGTAAATACAAAGAGTGACTCACTGAGTCTAATCGGATCACAGCCTTTGATGATGAGGTGGAAGTGCAGCGCCGTCCCATTCAAAGGGAGAACACTCATCAGCCACTTGGGTAGACAAAAAGGAGAGAGGGAAAAAATGGCAATGGCAAGAGCATAAATCTCACTGCTCATTTCCGCTGTAAATAATAAAAAGTGGGGAGGAAAAGTGAATACCAATTTGTATAATATAACAACAGAGAGCCAACCCTATATCCAGGACAAGTTGACCCAACCAAAAATCACAGCAGTTGAACAGACCAGTATCTCATGAGACTTGCTTTTCCATTCTCACTTTCTCTTCTGTTTTAATGGAAAGCTATAGCATCTGTACATTTCAACAACACAAGTGTTAAATGTAACTCGCAACTCCCTGCAGATATGGCCGCCCACTGTGCTATAAATACATAAGTGCAAAATGATGTCACGATGTGTAAGTAATGGGACATTTTACGATAAAATAGTTCTGCTGTAAAAAGAGGTGCAACAGGGCGAAGAAGGGATTTGTGAGGAGTGAGTGCAAAAAAAAAAATTACAATTGAGCTGGTCAGGCCGCCATGGGCACAGCTTGGTGTTTCACAAAACATGGGAAGAGGACTAGGTATTTTCTCTCATACCAGATAGTAGGCTTGTTTTAGTAGAGGTTTTACGGCGCTCGCAACTGCATAAGGTCGTATGAGCGCCAGAAGATTAGAGGTGTTACAAGAGAGTAACAAACATAAAAAAGAAGGAGGGGAGATAAGGACGATAGATGTTTCATAGGAAAGAAGAAGCAAACCACACCAGAGCACCCGCCAACCACCCACATGCCACATAGGCTTAAACCACAAAAAGGCAAAGACAAGGTGTTGTGCTTTCACATGAAAAACACTCAGGAGGGGAGAAAATAATCACAAACAGAATTGCCACCGACAAAGAAACGGATAGGCATGATGTAAAACAAAACAATTCAGTAATCCATTTCCATTAAACAGAGCTTCCAGCAGCTGATGTCATTTTTCGAGGATTTTCGGGTCCAGGGCGGAGCCCTGGCAGGGGGTTGAAGGTGGACAGCGTCCCCTTTATGTTTGAGAATTTTTGGTTTCAGAGCATCCTAAGTATGCCATTTCTGGCTATTCAAGCCTAAATTTAACAGAAAATAAGTGAGAAATAAAACACACTTTGCATAGGTCTACATAATTTTCTGCTTGTGTTAATCCGTATATTTCCAAATCCAAAACCATGCTTTCTCCCTTGTACAGATACTGTACATCCACAACTAGATCTATAAAACTTGACAGTTAATGTTCAACTTTTTTCTGCTAGTGTTGGTTTGCACTTTGCACCATAATCATCATAAGGTGTAGAATACCTTATAATAATAGTATAACAGCTTGACTTGATCTTGATATCTAGATCTAGATCTAATATCTCTAGATTCTAGTCTAGATTCTTGACAGCTTATTCAACTTAAATCTACAACAAAACTTACAAATAAACACGTCTGGTAAAAAAATCAAGCTCTCTTTTGAGTTTTCTTTTCTTGGCAGGCCCAAGATCTATTGAATCACAATCGTCATTTCTTCCTCTTGTTTACAGAGTTTGTGCTCTGCTTCCTGAGCTTTAGAAAGTGAAAGTGAAAGACACTGTCTACACTTTCAAATAAAAGAGCACTTCCGGTATGGGTTGGTTACTGTTGACTATTGGTAATAACGGAAATTTTTTATTTCGCATTTTAAAAAAAATAATTTTTTTTTGCACGAATTTTAACGAAATTTTTCCATTTGCGGAATTCTGCTAAGTTGCGGAAATCCGCAAAATTGCGGAAGACTGGAAGCCCTGATTAAATATTACATGATAAAAAAGTTTGACAGACAGTCTCCTCCTGAATTCCTAGAGTACTCACAGATTACTTCAAATCTAATCGAATTAATCACCAGTATACAAAAAAAAAAAAAAAAAAAAAAAAAGTTTTTGAATCCAAGTAACTTTTCACTGCACTCAAGTAAGTGAACTATATCTGCAAAGGACCTTTTACAACAAAAATGCAAAAAATGGTATAACTGGTACGTGCAAAATTGAACCAGTATGACTAAAATATGCATTCCCCTCAGAGAAACGGAAAAACATTTTACATAAACAGGTGCGTCTAATATTATTGTAATGAAATACCACAGAAATACCTTTCACTTTCACACACAAGTTGGCACTCTTTCCCCAGTACGAGAATTTACAAAATGAATACACAAATTATAATCCTCCCACAAAAATAAAGCTAATCCTCAGCCATGAAGAAGAAGAGAAAAAAAACAGGACAGACCATGCTTGTGCCCATAAACTTGAATGCGAAGAAAAGTCTCCAGTAACAGCTGACACAATATCCATTAAGTAACACAGACAAACACATCACATAAACTGAAATGGGGTCTTCATCAATAAATGGCTAGACACAGAGACGCAGGTGGTTCAATCAAACAGATAAAGACAAAATCAGCTAAATTCTGCTATACCAGGTCTTGACATCGCAGAACAGGGGGAACGTCCTAGTGGTGAATTAATCCCGGAACTTCCTGTTTGGGTTGCTGCCAAATAGACTCTCACGGATTCCAGGCATTCTCTGTTTAGAAAGAAATGAATGCAAACACACTAAGCGGGTGAAAGTAGAAACACTGTGGATTGTGAGCACATCACTTCATACTTCGATAAACAATAAAAGCTAGTTCAGAAACAGCGTTATATAGCCATAGTCAACAGATAGAAACCAAATTCTACACAGAAAAACGTTCGTATCTAAAACATCTGTGATGAAGAATGATATGGCAGATTTCACCGTAAGGGTGTGGGAGATAACACATGATTTATTTTACAAATAAAATTCTACCGTTTGGTGTTCGATTTTTGTTGTTTTGTTTGTTTCTGAGTCCAATGAACATGAGAATAAAGAACAAGTGATGACTTTGTTTATTTTGTTAGATTTTTTGCGTAACAGTGTTATGGACGTAAGGATTTAGACTTACAACCTTTCCCAATGTCCACGAGTCAGACATTTTTCGTTTTAAATTGCATAAAATGCTAGATTTTCTTTAAAAAATGACTAGAATACGCAAGAAAAAAGTGTTTCTAATGAGAAAAGAAAAATAAATAAATCGAGCATCGGGTTGAAACAGCACTGAACAAAGCAAAATGGAGGTAGAAAAGTCTGACATTTTGACCCGCCGTAAAGTGGTAAATTTACTTCCAAAAGCAAAATGAAAGTAGGTTTTTATGCTCAGGGCGATACTCATTTCTACATTGGTTTTAATCGTAATTTGCAAAAATTGAAGAAATTTTAAGTAGATTTGAGTCATTTGTGGCGCACCCTTCCCTGTTTGTCGCCGACATCTTACAATAGAAGATAGCATTTCTCAAAAAAATCCCGAGGACTTTCTGCAAAGGCGAAGCAAAAAACTTACTTCAGTTTGGCGCGCCATTTTATCATTCTTTTGCATTCTTTTCAAAGAGGTGGATAATTTGTGGTGTTTTCCATTTTTTTTCCATCGTAAGTGCCTAACGTCCGTAGCACATCAACGCCTGAATCATTACAAATCCAACCCAATAACACGCGATTACTTGTCATTTCTATTCAGTTTACATTGATTGAAAGACTGCAACACAATGCAGAGATGCCAACCACAGAAAACCGAAATGAGTATTGGGACATATGAATGTGTATTTTCAGGGGGAAAAGTGTATTCCCCACGACCGACCGACCGACCAACTACAGTGGAAACCTGATATAGCAGGGATGGTGGGAGTAGAGAAAATGTCCTGTTATATCCGATCCCTGTTAAATCAGAAATGCCAGGAAAGTAAGCATATGTCGACTAATCCAGCTGTACTTATTCATGGGTAGTTTCCTTAGCCACAAGTACCCACGAACAGGGGTTTTGGCACCAACTTTCTCCTTGCCTCCTTAAACTACATCAGAAGAGCTTGGTCCACAGCACTTGCATCGGGTAGTCTCATCTTCTTTCGATCAAGAGGAAACTTTCCATTGGAGTATGCTGCCACTATCTTCTCTCTATCCTTGATAATGGTGTGAATCAACCCTTGTGGAATGTTGACCTGACGACAAATCTCTGCCAGTGGAGCTTGCTTTTTGTCACAACCTGGATAATTTCGTATTTTTTGTCAATTTAAAGGTATTTTCTCTTGCCCTTGACATCGTTGGTGACACATTACGTGTGCATGTTGCTAGGTTTCGGGCTAGATCGAGGTCTGCAGCACACCGCAGCCCTCTCTCGGTTCACACGCTGCGTGTGCTTGCAGTGGCGTGGCTTGAGTGGGCTTGCTCCATCACTGCGTCAATCTCTCTCTTACTTTTTATACATTGTTAACGAGCCTTTGTCCCTGCTATAACCGGTTGGGCTCTGATGAAGCCCTGTTACAGCCGATAACTTTTAATAGAGACAAAGAGTAGGAAAAAACGGGGATTTGAAAAATCCCTATTATTACCGGATCCCTGTTATTACCGGGCCTGTTATATATGGTTTCCACTGTAGTAAAATGTTCAGGGTGTCCAGCAATATTACCTGAAAAAAATGTACAAGCTCACCAGCTCGAAAAAGGGAGCACACACGCGTACAATATACATGTATCCAGTCAACAACATGTCAGTGTTCAGTATTTTACTGGGGTCTTGTTTGACTTAAGTATTTCAGTCTGTCACAATATTTTCCTCTCATTATTATTATAAAAAATTAATCCTGTTATGAGCGTTCGGAAGGGCCTAGAACAAGAATTTCGACTATCAAGAACCAGTCTGGGTGTCATGGTTTATATCTTGGAGTAACTACTATATAGGGAGAGGCCCTTAGGTTGCGTCGCCCGCTCAACAGTTCCAACCAAGTTGAAGCTGAAAGGGCGGAGCTTATCGGGCCTGCCGCCATCTTTGTAAGTTCAAAACAATGCAGCGTACGCTGCATAATCTCCTTTCAAAACACGCTGCTCGGACTCCATTTTCTCTCGAAATTTCTTTGTCAATGTTAATTACAGCATTATAAGCACTCACGCACAGTTGTAATATAATAAGGATGTTAAGAAATCTTACTTGAATCAAATTACCAGCTCACTTAATCGAATATTTACAGTAATACATGTACTAGGTATACACATTGTGACGGTAAGATAATTTTTTAAACTTGTTTTAGAGAAGAAATTGGGATATAAGGATCAAAACAAAAATATAAACGGGATAACAAAATTTGCAGACTTTTCGATCATAGAACTTCATCAGTGCAAAATAATGTCATCACTGACATTATTTTTACTAAAACGTAGACTTCTTGACTTAAACATTATATATATATATATCTAACAAAATTGAAAATGATTACACAAAAGATGGTAGTGAGGGTGGGATGGGATGGGCGAAGAATGAGGAAGGAGAGGGCAAGGCAGATAAGAGTGAAGTGTGATGGTGGAAATTAACCCCCCCCAAACACACACACACGCGCACACACACACAAAAAAATAAAACAGCGCCCCCCCCCCCCCCCCCCAATAAAACGAGGAGGGAAGGACACCTGTCCTTTAAAACACCCAGACACTTTATCTAAATTTTACAAAATACTGTTAAGTGTATTGAAAAATTAATAGAAAATTTGAAATGATAGGCTTATAATAAGAAGAATTTCAAGACAGATTGCACTAATTTGTGACATTTCTCTTTTGACAATGTCACACCCCCTGCACAGACAGACTACACATGACATCGAAAATGTTATTCACACACCAAACACACTTCAATGACATTCTTTGAAGGCACAGTCAAACCTCCGACGAGACTTCAAAAACAGCAAGGAAGTTACATTTGACACACTGGAGTCAGGGGGGCTCTCGTGGCCTAGAGGTTAAGGTGTTGGCCTCTCATTCAAAGATCCCGGGTTCGAATCCGGGTAGCGACCGAAAAATTTTCTTCTCTAAAATTGTCTCCTTTCACCTCCTTTCCTGATCTCTAACAATGTTCTGTTGTCTGCTTTCATTTCCACTTTCTGTCCCCACCCCCTCACCTCCTCTGGGCTCCTGACTCTTTCTGCAGCCTTTCTACTGCTACTCCTTGGCTCCTCCTTACTGCTGTCTTTCTGCCACACCCCTGATCTTCTGGTAGGAAAGATCTACACCTAGCCTTCTCGGACAAGGGCGAAAAATCTCGGAGGGCCCGTGTGCAAGTTGCGCACGTTAAAGATCCCTTGGTGGTCTAAAATCGATAAGAGTAGGCTTCGGCCGCCACCCGGGCAAAATTCCAAATTTCCTACCAACTGAAAATATTAGGTGTGTCCCGCGTGCTCATATGACCTATGCAGTTGCGAGCGCCGTAAAACACTTTACAAAAACAAAACAAAACACTGGAGTCAACTAAAGCACCGATGAAGGTTTCACATTTTCAAATGCTTTGTAAACCCTAACAACACAAAAACAGCCATGTAAGCAACAGTATTCTCAGAGTAAATTGACAAGTATGCCAGACTAGATCTAGGCACAAACGTGCAGTTATCATTATGGCAAACTGAATTTTCTGCAATCTTTTTTCATTCTGTTTTTACTGTGATGCATTAACGGCTAAATCAGAAGACACTTCGTCATCAAGTTCAATGCCATTGCTAGAGACTGATATTTTTAAAAACATTTTTTGTAGGCCTTATAAGTGTTTTACGGCACTCGCAACAGCATAAATCATATGAGTGCGAGGGACACATTCATTAAACATTTTAAGTTGGTAGGAAATTTTGAATTTTGCCTGGGTGACGACCGATGTCTACTCTTATCGATTTTAGACCACCAAAGGACCTTTAATTTGCACAACTTGCATACGCGACCTCCGTCGAGCCTCCGAGATTTTTTCGCCCTTGTCCGAGAAGACTAGGGGTAGATCTTTCCTACCAGAAGATCAGTGGTGTGGCTGAAAGACAGAGGTAAGAAGGAGCCAAGGAGAAGCAGTAGAAAGGCTGCAGAAAGAGTGCGAAGCCCTGAGGAGGTAGGGGCAGAAAGTGGAGACGAAAGCAGACAAAAGAGAAAGTAGAATTTTAGAGAATAAATTTTTCCGTCACTACTCGGATTCGAACCCGGGACCTTTGAATGAGAGGCCCACCGGACCCGAACGCTACGCAAACTGCCATTCGGTTGACACTAAGTTTACAACTGAGAGAACTGAGCTGATCTCACAAACATGGCCGACCGTCGTCTGCAGCGGCTTCACGTTACGCGACTTGCGGCCTCTCCTATTAATAGTTACTCCAAGGTTTATATTATGAACTGACAGACTAAAATTATTGCTCAGAGAAGAGCAATAGCTTGAATGGCTCAAGTAGACCCGTGCACTGTGAGAGTTATGTAACAACTGTGGGAGGGCAAGATGCAGTGACATTGAAAATCTGCCAGTCTTGAACAGAAAGCTACAACATACACTGTAGGTATAATTTACTATCACCCATCCAATGAAACATTTTATTTCAATAACACAGACTTGCAAAATATGAAGGGTCCCGATTCTGCACACGGCCTGCACCAACGTGCGCTTTGCAGAGAGCTCTAATCAAAATTCTGAAATTTGCCTCCAAGTTTTTGTCCTCTGGTTTTGCCTTCACACCCCCCCCCCCCCTCGAGTGTATTTTTTTTAAAAATCAATAATCCCCTCCCCTATTCCATAGTCCTATACTTGGCAACGCCGTTACTCCCACTAAACACGGTCTTTGCTCACACGATGCCGCATTTATCTGTGATGCGAATGCGCGCAGGTTCATTGACCGGTCACGATGGCGAGCCCAACAATCTAAAAATCGGACGACGCTTGTATTTTCTTTTCTTTTTTTCCTACAAGTGACAGCACAGAGACGAGTTCGAGAAATCTTATTTGCACGGTAACACAGCCTTTACACTGCATAACCTGCATGTCACAAATAAGTTGCGTTATCAGTCTACCTTTGGCAAACTTCTTGGTGGTAACAAAAGCGAAAGTAGATCTTGATTTTCCCCATCAAGCCTCGGTGTCACATACACTTCCGTCTGCCGTCATAGCCGCCTGTTCGCGTGAAAGTGAAACGTACTCTCGGAGTAAAAGCTAAACGAATATAATATCACAATCGCGACTGGCAAAAATGAACTTACTGACCTTACCGGACTTGGTTTTCAAATATTCCAGTTCCGCGATACTGATACTGATACTATTTTGACAAAAGAGGGGACTTGAAATAATTAGGTTTACTCGCCCAAACTGCTGGATCTCGTATTTTTCGCGTTCCAGGATGCGTATTTTTTCATGAAAAGTCATATTCGTGTATTTTCGGCAAAAAATCGTACTAAAATACGTAAAATTGTACTGGTTGGCATCTCTGACAATGTGTAACGCGTGTAGGAAGTAAAAAAAAAGACACTAGAGACAAAAATAGCACGTTCTTTCGTCATTGTCTTGTTTGATGCCGATGAATGCTTTGAGTTCCCCGTATCGGTGCTGAGGATGATTTCGTGGTCTTATTGGCTGTTGGAAAACATATTCATGGATTGTGTTGCACCAAGGCAAGGTTACATTTCATTTTTAAAAACTTTTATTACAAGCCTTTATTGTCTCCCTAACATTTTAAAATTCCTCTTTAAAAGACCTTTACAATGATATAAAAATCTAAATCCTGAAAAAAAATTGGGAAAGAGGGAAACCTATAGGTCCTCAACGTGAAATCCGCTATGATGTCAAGCAACAGTGTACAGAAAAATTGTAGAAAAACAGAACGAATGTATGAATAGTGACGATAAGTATGATAAATTTCCTTGAAGTCTTTGATCAGATAAATTGCATTATCTAAGAACAAAACTCTATGGGAGCCTGAAGGACCTGCGATAAACAGCAGCTTTTGAACTAGAGATTGGGACTTTCATTTAGAGATGAATGAGAAGAACAACAACAAATTAAAATATACACCGTCTTAATATTGACCACGGGTTCATTATGTAATTGGACATCTGCCTCACTCATGCAACTACAAGAGATAACTTTTGAGATAAGCCTCCATTCTAAATAAAAGACAAAGCAGCAGCATGTTTTCTTTTCACCAACATCCCCGCACTTAAAGACAGCAAAAATAGCAAAAATATTTTGAACTTTTTCGTAAGTTTTGAAGACAAGAGATCATGTTCACAAAACAAGCATACCTCATGGAAGATGCGTGTGACTCTATCATCCAAAGTGTTTGTAACAGAGATCTTGTCGTTAAGGGCAAACAGTAGCACACCTCCAATCCTGTTAAAATTAATTAAGAAAAAAAATTGCACGCCTACACAAAAAGAATATATGATGAAAACTTCTTTTAAAATTAACAAATGGAGTCTGGAAAAATTCATAAATAACCCATACAATATGTCCTCATCAATAAATCGAGACACTGGTCCAATGAGACCCACCTTCTACTGTAAAATGATTACAGCCAAAACTGTCTTTTTGATAAATGAAAAATGTGTAAAAAGTATTATTGCCTTACAGATGAAACAAATCTAAAGATGTATCATCAAAACAAAACAAATTGTCTATCAAAACAACAAATAACACAAGCATGGGACCAGCAGACTGCTGTCCATTTACAATGCTGTATTTACTCAACAAAATGTAATAAATAAATCTACTGGTAGCCAAAATGCTCACCCACCAAACAAAATATATGCAAATAATAGTAAGTTGTGCTCAACTATCCAAGCTTATCTTCCCAAAACCCTGGTTTGCCTAATAGCACTAAACAAATTCAAGACCCCCCCAGTTATTTTTAAAACAAATGTTCATACATTTGCTTAGATGAATCTCTCAAATACAATAAAATGAAAAAATAGAAAGAATGCGTAAAAAAAACCCAAAAAGCAGAATCCTTTTTTCTCAAGACATGAATTCTTCATTGAGGCGTTCACGAAACACTGTATTGTTGGCTTACGAAAGAGGAAATTTTGTTCATTATATCAAAACCTTAGAAGAATTAAATTCCCTATTGAATCAATGATTTTGTAGTGTGGAAAAAAGTGAGAAAAAACAACAGTAACTTCTTCCCCCCCAAAAACAAACAAAAACAACAACCAACAAACAAAATACCAAAAAAATCATATTTCAACAACTCACAGATCAGCAGAAAGAAAGTTTTCTTCATCGACTATGATCTTCACTTCGTATTTGCCCTTGGTTAAGTTCTTGAATTGAGACTCACACTCCTGCGCCACGGACTGCAAGCAAGGAAAAAAAAAAGTATGTATTGAGATTTCAGTTTGATAGTTCTGTTTGTTTTGTTAGGGGAGTAAAGAAAAGCACATCAACACAATAAAGGTCATTTAGGGCTGGGAAAAAGTAAGACAGACAGAAACACCACAGAGAGAGTACAGAAGTAGGACTTATCGGTGGTGCCCTCCAACCATCCGCAGTTTGACTAGAAATGTTTGCGTAAAGAGAAGTACATTGACAAATTGATGGTCATTTAGTGATAGGAAACAGACAGAGAGAAACAAAAGAGAATAGAAAAAGAAAAAAACTACCTGAAAAGAGCTTTTTAGTCTTAGTAATAGTTTTACTGCACTTGCATCACAATAAGGTCATATAAGTGCCCAAGATAAAAGGTGTTACAAGAGAGTAACAAACACAAAAAAGGAGGGTAGATAAAGATGATAGTAGGTACCGCAGGCGAGCCGTTTTCAAGGCAGACAGCTACGGCTGGAGCCAGATTTGGACAACTTCATCCAACTATTAGCTGGTTTTAATTTTGGTAAACACTAATAAAAATTATACCAATGTTTTCTGTGTCTTTCCTTCTCCATGATGAACAAGAAACTGATACTTATGATTGCATATTTAGTTTTTAATTGACTAAAGTTTAACACGGGAAAACTCGGCCGTCTCGCAATTTTGCGCGCTTAGATTTGGGGGGGTGCTTGTTTTAAATTTCGATTTCTCAGTCGTGAATCATCGAATTTTCTTGCGGTTTGAAACATAAAAATCT